ATAAATATATTCGATAGCTATGCACACACACACACACACACCAATTCAGAAATATATAAATTAAGACCACGCCATATCAAATAAACAAATTTACAAACATTAAGAAGAAAATAGATGACCATAGAGGTTTACTTAGACACATTCACCACACACACACATGTGTGTGTGTTTGTCTGTGTCCACCAATATACATAATTTAAACAAGGTATGTACTTAGGTTTCAAATATCTTCGTCGTAGTCGTCTTGGGTCCTGGTACACACACACACAATCATCACAATTCTTCTTCTCTCATTTTATCATCAGATAGAAAATGAATAAAATGGTAAACAACGTATATATACGTTTTGTATAGATGTGATGAGATGATCATGATGATCACGATGATGATGATGATGATGATGATGATGAGGCGTTGTTTTTTTTTCTTCTTTTCTGGTAAAAAATTTTTTTTTTCGTTTTGTTTAGTGTTTCAAATATTCGTATTGTTGTAGTGGTGTTTGGTGGTTGGTGGATCATCACGATTCCATACACACACACACACACACACATATAAACATACAGGGCACAGGCGCACAAATTATATATCGGTTCATTCAATTCAATATTCCAATCCAATTTTTTTTTTATATATTCAATTCAATTCAGCAGGCATCATTCTCTATCTTATTCTCAATTGGCGGTAAGTTTGCCTTATTCAATGTAATAATAAGTATTATATGTATAGTAGAATGATGTGTATGTAGAAGCGCATAGCACCGGCCCGCCATTACAACAACCAAAAAAAAAACCAAACCAAACCAAACCAAACGAAACGAGAACAGAATAAGTGTATCGAAAAATTATATACAAATAAACATACACAGCACACAGACACACCAACACTACTAATCCTGGCCATGGCTAACACCGCTAACCAGAAAAGAAAAACCTTTTTAGACTGCTGTCTTTGGTCCGATCGGTGTCAGTCGTAAACTATGCAGTGATCATTAAACACACACATGCACACACATATACACGTTTTTTTTGTACACACGAACCTCAAAATAACGGGATTTTGTGTGTGTGTTTGTTTTAAGTTTGGTTAAAAGCATCACCAACTTGAATATTACAGAATCAAGTGTGTGTGTGTGTATCTGTGAATTTTTTTTTTGCCCATATTGACACTGCCCTTTTTTTTTTTTTTTTTTGAATAAAAAATTATTTCACCTGTTCACATTCTGTTTGTGTTTGTGTTTTTTTTTCATTATTTGTCTGTGTAATGTTTGAACCAACAATTTATCAACAGATTTCTGCATCTACTGGTGCAAAAACCGGTACGACCAATACTGGTCATCATCATCATCATCATCATCATCGTAATCATATTCGTCTTCGTCATACAACAACACGGCGATCATTTGTATCATCGTCGCATTGTATGTTTTTGTTGTTGATGACATCCATACTTATTTTATTCATTTAAATCACTAGAATCAATTGTAGAATGTCTGATTTGTCTGTGCATTCATTAACCTGTTTTTTTGTTTGTTTTTTCTCATTTTTTCTTGTATTACAATAGTGGAATTTGAAGATTACAACGACAACGACGACGACGACAACAACGACAAGAATAAAATGTCTAAATTAAATCGAAATGATGACGATGATGATAATGATAATGATTCAAAACAATTTATCAATAATGATGATGGCGACCTGATGGATTTTAGTAGTAGTGATAATAGTAACAAAAATACCCGCCAATTTATAAAATCAAATGACTCTACTCTAACGCCATCTATTGTTGGACAGAAACTATCTCCCACATATGATCATTCGATTAATTCATCATCATCATCATCATCATCAACGACGACCACTACAAAGATGACAACAATAATAAACAACAACAATAACAATGAAAAATCTGAACAATTCATCATTAATTTGGCAGCAGAAAATTCTAATAATAATAATAATTGTACCGATACAACTGATACAGAATCTGAAGAAGAAAATTGTATTGAAGTTGAAAGATTATCGAATATTGCCTATGATGATGATGATGATGATGATGAAACAAATCCAGATTTATCATACTATAATAATAATGGTCAAAAGAAAAATGATAATCATGGCAATATAATGAAAATAAAAATAGCCAATAATCCGGATAATGGTGATGATGATGATGATGATGATAAAACAGTAACGATGAATTGTCGAAACAAATTGATTGTGATTCAATTGATACCCTTAAAATACATCAAAAACAAGGTTTGTACAAGTTTAAACTCAATTCTGTCTATTTTTCTAAAAAGCCACCAAAAAGGTGCCCATCATCTATCTATTTTTTTTTTTTTTTTTTTGATGGGTCGATATTTTTTTCCGTTTGGTGAGTGGTCGATGAGATGATGATGATCAAAAAAAAAGTTACGTTTCAATACATTTCTGGTAAAAAAAATAGGCCAAACCATTCTGAATTGAGAATTGAAAAATGTAATGGGTCGAACTGATTCAAGATTCCGATTGATGGTTGATTTTGTTTTTTCTTGTTTCAAAAATTTAGCTACCATGTGTGTGATTGATGTTTTGTGTGTGTGTGTGTCGACTCTTCTCCACAGAAAAAAGGATTGGTTTTTTTTCTTTTGGTCGAAAAGATTGAAAAAAAAATTCGATAATGATGGATTGAATAAGTGATGCTATACTATTCATACATACAAACATGAATCGAAACTTTTCTCTTTTTTTTCTATTTTGATTCAACGGTTGTTTTGTTCGACGATCATCATCATCATCATTGTGATCACTACGATGATGATGATGATAGGAGGAAGGAAACAACCGTGCATTAGTGTCTATGTTTGTCTGTTGTTCTTGTTGTTGTTGTTGTTGTTGTTATACACACAGGATAACAAGTTAATGTTCACTGTGTTTTTTTTCCAGTCTTGGAACACCATCGATAAGTCAAAAGGTTGGTTATTATTTGTATCCCAATGTTGATGATGATGATGACGATCATCATCTTGTTCTTGTCGTCATCGTCGTCATCGTCATAATAATAATAGTCAAGATGTGTATTTCCATCCATTGAACAGCATCACAATCACTATCATCATCATCATCATCATCATTAAGTTGTTTTTTATTTCATTCATCCAAACGGTAGCATCCAAATAGCAAGTTTTTTTTATATATGAAAGTTTCACGAAAAAAAAAGAAGAAATTGAGGTGTACAGACACACACACACATCCGTATTGCATTTTGCACATGAATCCATTTTGTTTTTTTTCTGTCTGGTGGTTTCTCCATTCTCTAGTTGATGTGGGGAGATCATCATTACGGACAATATACAAAATTGACAATCGATGATGATGATGATGATGAACGTTTACGTTTAAGTTTTGAAAATTCACTACTACTACTACTACCATCACCATGATTCTGTACATATCAATTAGGGTTGTATTTTTTTTTTCTTTCTTTCTGCATTATGATGCAAAAACATAACATAACATAACATAATGTTATCGTTTATCGTTTATATATTCTATTATCTTGGTTGTTATTATTTCGATAAAAGAATCCATTGAAAAAACAGAATTTTTTGAAAAAAAAAATTTCTTTTATCAAAGTTTACTTTTTTTTTTTGATTTACCCATTTTATTTTTCTCTATATATATATTGGAATATGATACACCTTCTTTGAATCATAATTCAATTTATTTTCCATTTTCGGTTATTCCATTCTGGATCAACTATGGAACAACCGAAAAAAAATCTAGTTATTCATATTCATTGAAAAAAATGGTAAATATCATGTACATTATTATATTCTACTACCCATTCTTTACCTGAAAATAATAGTGACTAACTACAACATCATAATCATCATCTGTTTCTTTCCAAATTGATACAACGATAATGTTGTTGTTTTCCAAAATGGCAAAAAAAAAATCTTTCAGTTTAATATGTAAAATGAACAAACGAGTGGAATTATGATAATAATAAAAAAAAACGATAAGTGATGAGGCAGATGTTCTGTTCTGTTGTGCTGTATGTGTGTATGTTTTTTTTTCTTCCCACTATCCAGAATCATGGATGATGATTGTGATGATCATTTTTTTTCTTTTTTTTCTTCACTGGATCATGTGTATTGATTGTATACGGTGAACAACAACAACAGCAAAAAAAAAAGAGTTTATGATGATGGTAATGAGACACTGATGTATATGATAATAGTGGAATAAAGGGATAGACAGGAATTTTGGATTTTTTTTCTCTTTCTCTCATTTGATTCTTTTGGCCCAGTTGTTGTTGTTGTTGTTATATCATTAAGTCTCTTTGTAAATTTGATTTTTTCCTTTTTTTTCTTCTTTGGGTGATGATATGCATATGGCTAATGTTGTTTAGTCAAAGTCATTTGTTTGGCAAATTTTTTTTTTTTGTCTGCTGTGTGTGTGTATGTGTGTTTATGATGTCTAATCATCATTCGAATTATTGTTCCGATTAACTCGAGCTAAAAAAAAAAACAAAACGTTATGCTGGTGGCTACATCAGGATCATTTTCTGGTTTAATGTTATTTTACAGCGTGTTCGTTTTATCTATATTTTGCAAATTCATTCTCATTCTTATTATTATTACTACATTAATCGTCTTTGATTTCTTTTTTCTTTTTTTCTTTTTTTTTTCTTGGTTATACCTAAAAATATTATTGGAAAATTAGCATCAAACACCAAAGATGATGTTGATTTGGATCAATCATCAAATTATGAACAGCAGAAAATTATCATCAGACATCCTAATTTAACTAATGGTGGTGGATCTAATGAAACAACAGATGATCATGATGATGATGGTAAAAACTACTAAACAACAATCAAATAAAAAGAATCTAAGCCTTCGACAATCATCTAAATCGAATCATTATGATCAAAATGATGATGATGATGATGATGATGATATGATGATGATGATGAAGATACCGACATGGTTGTTGATGATGAAAATGAAAATGATCAACGCCATGACCAACATAATATTGTTGATGATGATGATGAATATGAGATTGATGTTGATGTCGATACTGAACCTGATATTGATATATCAACTGAATCCGAGTTTCATATACATGGCTCAAATGGATCAATACGACAACCATTAGATTGTATTCCGGTTGAAACTGTTTTACGTGAACATTTCATCATCATCAATACTTAACGATGGACCACCATTACCACCACCACCACCAGCAACATTATTATCATCGCTTCATCAACCACCAACAACATCATTACCATTGAATGGTAGTACATCTTTTATGCCTTCCACAAACACTAACATCAATACAAATAATCCAACAACAACAACAACAACAATCATCATGAATGAATCAGCAATGATGTTGACCAAATCATCATCTAATAATTTAAGCCAAAATTCTCATCATAATTCTAATCATCAGCATAATAATCATCATCATTTGAATGGTAGCAATAATAATCATCATAGCAAGAATCAACATTTAAAATGTAAGTTTCATTTTTTTCTACAATTTTCTACAATCATTTAGACACGTAGAGGCGGGAAAAAAACCTGAATTTCAAACAAAGCTACATTTCCGTTATATTCATTCATTCAGTTTTGATCCAAAAAATCGTTTATTTCACCCTTTCAAAAAAAAATTTGAAATTTAAATTTTTTCTGTTGCGGAATACCTCCAGGCTTTTCAACACACACACACACACAAATACACAGCCATCGTCGTTGTATTTTTTCTCACTAAATAATCATCATAATGGATGTTTCGGAGAATCGGTCGTTTGAATTTTTATCTCTCGTTTCTTGGATGATTATTCTCCATTCATTTAATGGAATTCCGTTAACCACCAAAACGATATTCAGGTGTCATTTGTTTTTGTTTATGTGTGTGTGTGTGTGTGTGTGATATCTCTCCGGATGACTTGGTTTTTTTTTGGTTCTCTCTCTTGTATTGTATTTCGAGGACTCTATATAGATATTGTTTTTGAAATTAATCGTCGTCATCGTTCGTTCGTTTTTTTTTTCATTCACTTTTTTTTGTTCCAATGTGTGTGTGTGTGTGTGTGTGTGTGTATTTGGCTCCAAATTATTTTTAATTATCTTTTTTTTCTTTGCTTTTGCTTTTATTTCATCATCATCATCATCATCATCATTTTTCTCTCGCGAGTTAATTTTTTTTACACATTCATTCAGGCAGCAGCAGCAGCAGCAGCTAGAAAAAAAACCGACACCAATTTTACTGAGAAAAATTTAGATTCCAATCGAATCATTTTCATGGTTTGATGCCTTTTTTTCCATCTATGTTGTTTGTTGGTGGTGGTGGTGCTATTGGTGTCATTGTCATCATCATCATCATCATCAGAATTGTGGCTGCTGCTACTGCTGTTCGATGGTTCGATGCTTAATTATCTAATTAAGGTTTCATTCGTTCATTTGCTTAATTTCACTAGTATCACAGAGAAAGAGAGTTCAGGCTATTCAATGAATTTTTTTTCTCTTGATGATGATGATGCTTTCACTGGGTTTTCGGTATTTTTATTTTTTTTTTTTTTTGTTTTTGTTGTTGATTATTTTTTCCTATATTTATTCTCTTCGATCGGATGTCATCAACAAACATGAATGAAAAAACGGTGGTAATTTGGGCATTTTTTGGTTTTTTGGGTTTTTATTCGGTTCCCGCGGTTGTATCATGATAAAACGAATGCACTGTATTTATATGCACTGATTTAATGACTGCTTCGATTTATTCATTCATTTTCTATGAAAAAGATTGATTTTTTTTTGGTTGTTTTGTTTATCTGGTTTCTTGATTTTCATTCAATTCCATCATCGAAATTTTTTTTTATTTTGGTGACCTTTTTTTTCATTTTCATACCTTGATATGGGTTTTTTTTTCATTTGTCTGTAACGATCATCATCAATGAGATCATGGATGATGATGATGACGATATTTTGGAAAGAAATCAAATTCATAGATGAATGGATGGTAACAGCAGTGGCAGTTTGATTACCAGTAAACATCTGACCCTACATACATACCATTACTATATATGTATATGGTCGTGAGGTTATGATTCCTGAATCCATGAAATATCAAAGATCAATTGTTTTAATGGTTTATATACACACACACACATTGTACATGGTTTAATGGAGAAAAAAAAAAGAGAATGCTAGAAAAGGCAACACATGTATTGAATTTATATACGAAACTTTCCGATCTATTGATGATGATGATGATGATCATCATCATCATCATTTTTACGCATCGTAAAAATATGACATGATCCAATGATCTACGGATTCTATATTCGATATATATAGGTATGTGTATTTTTGGGTTATACGTTAGAATAAAACATAACATTTGATAAGAATTGAATTGCTGACCTAAGCACAATATTATTTCTATATATGACCATCATCATCATAGTATTGTGTCATGTATATGATTCGTTTGTTTGTTGTTTTTTTTTTTTTTCATTCTTGTTATGTTGATGTGTATTGACATTCAAGCATTCATTGACTATGACAAACACACAGAACACAGATATGTTAAATGTTGTACTCCAATGAAATGAAAATGATATCGTCGATATTTGAAAGAATAACAAAAAAAATTGCTGAAAATTTATAGAAAAACGTGCCCAGGCCTTCATTGTTGTTGTTGTTGTTGTGATGGAACGTTTTTTATTCTTTTTTTTCGGCCATGAAAAACAAAACAAACGAATGGATAGCAATCTCTAATTAATATTGACTTTTATTAGATTTTTTATATTTGATGTATGCCAACGTTTGATGACATCACATCATTTGTATTGTTTGAATTTTTGAATTTTGAATTTTGAATGAATGAATGAATGATGCAAATGGATTTTTTTTTGTATTCACATTCGTGAAAAATTCCTCTTAATAGAATAATTTATTTTGTTTTGAAAAAAAAAATTTCTAAAATTCTCGAAAAATGAAAACCTGTGTGTTCGTTTTGCACTTCACTTGCATTAAGTCTATTATATTAAATTGACATTCGTATGCACATGGAGAATAAATTGTCCAAACAGAATTGTGTTCAGAATTGTCTTTTTCTTGTGTTTTGTTGTTGTTGTTTTTAAGTAAAATTTTGATTTTACCATCATACAGAACATTTGTCGCAAAAACTTTTTTTTTTTTTTTTCTCTCAGATAATCACCATTACCATTTTTTGTTTTCCATTTAAAAGTTTTCAGGTACATTTTTATTCTGAAAAAAAACGTCGGAATCCATTTGGGACGATACTCGGTAACCGTATGAATCCATATCCATTTACAGAATTTCAGGTGTACTTTTCTACCCTTTTTTCCATATAAAAAAAAGCACAGAACTTATCTCCATTTAAATCTATCCATTATGCTCATGTCTTTTTTTTCGATAATGAGGATATATTTTTTTTGTTCCTTTCTCTTCATTTGAATATTCTTAAAAAAAAAATTAATTGCCACTTCTCATTGTGAATGAATACCTGAAATGATGATAAATTTTTTTTTCTACGAGAAAAAAAAGAAAATAATCAGATCGAGTTGATGGTTCTGTTTTTAGGTAGGATGTTTTTTCTTTTGATGGGGGGTAGGGCAGTAGTCTTGTCGTCTACCATTCATTTATTCATTCATTCATTCATTCTGCAAATCTCCAAGGAGCTTTCAACTTGCAAATTGGCTTTTTTTCTCTCTTGCTCTCCAATGATGTTATGTGAACAACATTGAGAAATGATGATGGTGGTGGGGGCAGGGAGTGTACTTTTTTTTGCTTCTCCAGAAGCTTTTTATAATCATTATTATGATTATGGTGTTTTCCAATGTAAAAAGTGTCGATTTTGTGTTTGTGTGCGTGTGTGTGTGTGCTTGATGAACGATGAAACCTCTCTCTCTCTCTTTTCTGGCTTGTTTTTCAATCCTGACCAGGAGAGACAGAAGATTCTTGTTCTTCTTTTTCAGAAAAGAATTTTTTTTTTTTTTGGAAAAGCTTTTTTTGCTCTCAAGTCACGTTTACCTCATCATTTTATCATACATACAGAAACTGATTTCATATAAAAAACACACACACACACACACGAAGAGAGATAGTGGAATTAAGATACGAGAATAAAAGATTTTGGACTAGCAAGCAAGAATGATGGCTGGAGAAGACCCCAGAAAAGAAAGAATGAAAATTCTTAATATTTTTTAATTTTTTTTTCATATATTTCATAATCTTTTGTGAATTTTTTTTTGAATAAATTACTTATTTTGAATGAATAACCAGTGAATAAGCAGCAATTGTATCATCATCTGTTTTTTATTATTCTTGTCAAGAAATTCTGTATATGAAAAGAATCAGATATTTATTGGTTAGTAACTGTTGTTGTTGTTTTTTTGATGGCATTACCTACGATTTTGGGTTTCCGGATGCCTTTGATTTATTTTTATTTATCGATCGATCGATTGGTTTTTTTTCTTGTTTTAAAACCTGGACAACAATCCATGAGTCTATTTTCAAGATAAAAAAAAAAAATGTGAACACACACCATGTGACATTTATTTCATTTTTTTTCTCTCTCTCATTGAATTGAATTGGATTCCTAAGCAAACTTCAACACACACACACACACACACACACACAAACACACGGGTGCCCAAAAGTCCTCGAAATTATGTGTGTGTGTGTGTGTGTGTGTCAAAGCGACTCACAGTACGTGAGTTTCATCAATTCACAATTTTTTTTCCTCTCTTGGTTTGGTCTACGGAAAATAAAAATTTTTTTTTCAATTTTAATTTTCAACTAGATCTTTCGTGTGTATGTGCCAAGTGTGCAGAAAATGAATGAAAAGTAAATGAGCAGCAGCAACCAATATAAATATATATAATCGAGTTTATAGTTATACCCGATTTCTTTGCTTGTTCAGTATCTCATCATCATCATCATCATTGTGATTAAATTAGTGAAAATTTCACTGCAAATACCACCAACCAAAAAAAAAAATACTCTTGTTTTTAGAGATTTCAATTTTCAATTTTCTTTCTCACTCATTCTCACTGCTGATGATGATGATGATGATGATGGGTTTTCGATTGAATTTTATTATTCTTGTCACTTACTCATTGATCCACATGGTTAGATTAAGATTGGTAAAGTGTAGGTGATTTTTTTTTCTTGCCGTGTATGATTCAATCAGTAAAAAAAAATTTCTGTCTCTTTGTTTGATCATCGTCGTCGTTTTTTTTTCTCATTGAAAATTCAATTTTTTTTCTACAATATCGATATATGTAGTCATTGATGATGATGATGATTGTGTGTTTGAACTTGAACGTTATGAATGTGGAAAAAAATTGTCCAGGTATTAAAAAAAAAGAAGAAAACGTAAGCAATGCTTTTGTACAAGCAACCTGAACCTATTGATGATGATGATTGGTGTTTGAACCTGACAATTTTGTTTTTTTTCAAAATCAAAATACTACGACTATAGTGTTGGTCGCTG